ATATGGAAATTTTTGACACATAATATTATCAAGAAAAAATGGTAAAAACAAATAATCATATATGACATAAAAAATTAATAAGTACAAATGATAAAACATAATTGATTAATTTAAAATATAAAAATGATCCAAAAAAAAAAAAAAAAAAAAGCATACAAACAAAATCACGCAATTTTCCAACATAGAGCAATGAAATAAATTGAAGCAACGAAATATTCATAACAAAGTATGAACAATCCAAAAACGTTCATCATAATCATAATCAAAATTTGAAAATTGAAGCAACAAAAAGAATAATAATACATAAATTAAGTTGAAATAAACAGAGCATTATAACACAACAATGTATTGATGATAAAAATTACAAAATTATGATTGTAATTACTCACATTGTTGATGAACAAACGAATCAATCAATCGAACTCTAGAAGATGGAAACACACTTTCGTAATCACGATCGAAATTAGCAGAGGAAGAATCAGCCATTGATGATCAACAATAATTATCAAAATCGTAGGAAAAATAAACTGCAAAATTAGTATAAAATCAAATGAAGAAGATGAATTAACCAGAGAGAATGTAAGTACAAAAATGGAAATTGATCAATTGAGGAGAGAGAAAATATTGGGTTTAAAATCATTTATATACATAGCTTGAATAATAAGAAACAAGGTATTAAAAAAAATTAAAAAAAAAGGAAAGAATTGAAGCATGAAGTAGCTCGTGAGTACTCCCCGCATGCTACAAACGACGTAGCATCAGGGGGTATAGGTAGACCATCCTACACTAGGATGTAGGGTATAATTTTCATTAGGTGCATCCTTATGCACCTAAGATAGGTGCAACAAGGGAAGACCCAAAACGCGCGGCCCAAATTAATAACCCAGACAACATATCCGTGATCCGCCAAAATCAACACTACGCTCTACAAAATGAACATTTAGAAAAAAAAATATGAACATGAAAAAAATGAACATTTTAATAATAAAAAATGAACACGTAAAAAATGAACATTTAATAATACTTATAATGCATATGTTTCATAATCATATTATTTTTTATTTCTTCAAATTTTATGTTCATAATTAAATGTATTATATTCATAATAATATTTTATATGTTCATATATAATTTCAAATATTCATAATGTAAATATGTGTTGTTCATGAAATATTAATTAAATCTGTTTATGCATATATTGCCTTTCTTAAATGTTTATGTTCATATTTTTTTACATATATGTTCACCTTTTAAATATGTCCAGCCTAGGTAAGGTAAAAGTAGCACACATATAAGAAGTCACATCATACCCTCGGTACTCCCTTTGTTTCATAATTCCATTAAGATCACTCGTCTGTTTTAGATGTATTTTATCCTTTTTTAGAGTTGGTGTAAGGGAAAACCACGTGAAATTGTGAATTTTACTCTGTTTGCTAGTTTTCATCTAGTGCAATGATCTTTCTAATTTGCAATGATTGATTACGATTCTTTGTACATTTATGAATTTCTTTCTTCTCCAAAATGATATAGGGCAAACTTAATAGAACGAAGGTCAAAAGGAAGGATTCATAATAGACTTAGGCCCCGTTCTTTAGAGCTGCTCGGCTATGGCCTGCTCTGCTTAAAAATAATACTTAATATTGAATTATTATACTGATAATTAATATTTAATAATAATAATTAATTAATATTTAATAATAATAATAATAATTTATTGTAGGTTGTATGATTTTTGTTTTTGAGATATAATAATAATAATAATAATAATAATTATTATTATTATTATTATTATTATTATTATCATTATTATTATTATTATTATTAAACATCAATTCTCATCTCTCGAATCTCGAATCAATATTGTCAAACTCATGCATAAAAGATCAGGCCTAATCTAGCCACAGAGCATTAAATCAATCAATAGGAAATTAATCTAGCATTGATAATCAACAACAATAAAATACCCCTTCATATTATTTATGGATCCCCATAAACCCTAGAAAGGAAACTGCTCAGACATAATTGAACATAAACTAAACAAAGCAATTAAAGGAAACATGATGAAAGAAATAAAGTAAGTAAATGAGATTAAAGTAGAAGAAATCGTTACCAAAGTAATCTGAATTAAGGAGTTGAATTAAGAACAAAGTAAAGAACAAAGTTGTAGAGAGAGAAATTAATCTAAAACTAAGTAGAGAGAGAAAGTCTAAGAGAAGAGATCCTAATCGAAAGGATTAAAATTGTATTTATATCTAAAACTTTCATCATGTTTATTATTATTATTATTATTATTATTATTATTATTATTATTATTATTATTATTATTATTATAATAATAATAATAATAATAATAATAATAATAATAAACAGTTCGGGCGGGCTTGCCCATGATACATATTTTCTTATCCATATCCGTTCATTTATATTAATGGGTCGGGCATAGCCCCCCCCCCCCAATATCCATTTTTTTTCAAAAAAGTTGTCCAAGCTAGCTCGCCCTTTTGTGGGCCGGATTAGGCGGGCTTAGCGGGTCGTCCTGCCCATGAACAACTCTAGTATAATTATAAAGCCAATTTTCCTCAGTCAATAGGTCAAAGTCAAGAAAAGTAAAAAAGAAAATTAATTTTGGATGTAATAGTGGACAACGAACTTCCTCCATTGTTGAAGGGATAAGCTGGTCAGAATAACGCCATTGTTAACTAGGCGTTAATTAACGTGGGTCTGTTAGTGCTAGCTGGAAAGTGAACAAGCATATTTTTTATAACCCATTTTGCGGAAAACGAGGCAAGGTATTTACCGAATTGCCATTTGATAAACACAAAACATTTATCAAATTGTGTAACTTGGGCTTCCTCTTTACATGTGTTTAAGGTAACTATCTTTACATAGATTATGTTGAGAATGAAACAAAATTATTTGAAATTTAGCATCTATATCTTCACATCTTGATCTTTTTCCCTTTCGGGCTCCTCTACATCTTGGTCTTTTTCCCCTTTTGGGCTCCTCCATCTCTCATGGCGAGCTTTTTTTGCTTCTTGAGAAATACTTTTGTATTCTCTTGGTTGGAATTCTTGTCATTATCTCGTCAATCTTAGTTTCACAATAACCTTGTACGTATCTTTCTTGGCTTTGTAGTATTGTCTGTAGGAGATTATAGGTACTACGCAGCGGAAATAAACATGAATCATATTCATACAGTACCTAATCCCAATATCTAATGCATAACACATAAAGAACATATAATCGTATTTTTGAAGCGTGATTCCACGTGCGATCGATCAAGAACAATTGGAGATAAAGAATCCCAAGCGTGATTCCTCTACTTGGTCCACTGGCACAGATTAAGACCTCCACTAATGCTAGTTAGTTGCAATTGAACCCTTCAATTGACCTTCTACGGAGAAGAGCGAGCAACGAACCACCACACGCGCCACCAAGGGTGGCCGGCCGTATGGACGAGAGGAGGAGAGAGATAGTCGTGAGATAGAGAGAGGAATTAGGGTTTTTGGGATTGGTTACATTGATGTCAAAATACACTGTATGTGAATTATGACTGCTTTTTTGCAACCCTAGGCATGAATCTTATTTATAGATCTCATCTCTAAATAAGAGCCCCTGTCAAAAGCCCAAAACCTAATTCCAATCTAACTATGCTAGCCCAATCCATTTCATGATTAATTAAATGCTCATGAGGCCCATTAATGGGCCTATAACTTGCTTAACCCAATACCCTTGTGTGTGACCTCATAGGATCTATTCTAGCGGGCTTTGGACTATTTGACTAATCCAAAGATCATCTCTCATAGTCTAGCAACAGATGATGACGCCCCAAGAGAACGAACTTATTATCTCCATAATAGTGATCATTGATATATCTAGTAATTGCACTTATCGAAGACACAAATCCTTCATTGTCTATATAAGGGTGAAGCAAGCCACCATACCATTGAACGATATTTGCCAGTAGGCCTAGCAATGTTGTGAAACTAATGGATAAGAGTTTCTTGTCATACTTCATTTTCTTTTGGAAAAGCCATTATGTTAGACAATATAAATATGTAAATATTTTAGTCTCCATAATTAACATTGTATGATTATGAACCGTAATACCCAAATGGTATACATATTGGCTCTGATACCATGTAAGATAGGAGAATTCTCCTTGAAGACATATTATTGATGTGTGCCAATATATATACCATTTGGGTATTAGGGTATACAATGCTAAATATGGACACTAAAATATTTACATATTTATATTGTTTAACACAGTCTATTAAATTGTAGATGTAACAAGTTGATAATTATGCTAATGCATATAGTGTTATATAAATAAAACACTTGTTGTAAACTATGTTTATTAATATTCTTTATAAAGATATCGCTTCCATGATCATATACTCAACTAGGGTTGTTCATCGGTCCAAGACCAGACCGGACCGACCCGACCCGGATTGGACCGAATTTTAAGAGCTGAAGACCGAATCGATTAAGCTAGGACCGAACCCGGACCGGACCGAAAGAATCGGTCCAAAACCTGGACCGGACCGCTTTGGACCGATTTAAGAATTTTTAAAAAATAATACTAAATTTTTAATAAAGTTATGGAAAACACGAAAAAAGTAAAGGAAAAACTATATTTTAACGTCATTTTTATGTTTAGTACAAAAAAACTTATAAAATTAAAGTTATCTAACCTTATTAAAGATAATTTTTACCATTATTAAATGTTCACGCATATTATTTAATAAAAAAGGTTCGATCCAAGTCCCTTTTTTTATAGGGTTTTGGACTGGACCGGACCGATTGGGTTCGGTCCGGGGTGGTCCGATCCATTTTTTTTGGTCCGGACCGATTTATGAACACCCCTATACTCAACACCTTACAAATATTATTGTGTATGATATCATTTTGCTGAATTGTTTTGTTTAAATAAGTTTCTTATTTTATCATTATTTCCTATTTATTCATTTTTGTTTTAAAAACCATCCCTTGTTTTTAAGACTTGTCCGCTAAGAGGAGTGGGGGAAATCACTTAACTTTAAGTAAGATAATTATGTTATTCCCATAATTCATCAATTTACATACTCTAGACATATTTACCATATTTCGACACATATCCAACATTACGCTATTATAAGATTTTTTAAACTTGAAAATATATGCTTATAGACTCAATTAAAGAGTAAAAATTTCACATAATAGAATCAATTTTCCAATTATTTCTATAAGATAAAATATGAAGTTGGAAAAAAAAAAAAAAAACCCCAAAAAAATCATACGTTTAACAACTTGTTATGAGTCGAGTCTGGTTGATTCGACTCAAGTTGAGCAACCTTGACAAACAACATACATCGTACATAGAACAAAATAAACAATAGATACAAGATTACAACCACATGTGACACTACTGTGGGGACCGTGCAAGCTCAACAACAGCCAGTCCATTGCAGCAGTCATCTCAGCAACCCAACCCAGTACAAAATTGTACAACTAATATCATATCCTCTCACAATATTCACTCTTCCCGACACTTCTGCTTTTGTTGTCCCAACTACGCGTTTTCCGCACCTGAAAGCGCCGCCCATTTTTAAATCTCCCAAAAAAACAACAAATTATGCTGTCTTTTGGAAACTCCTTGGAAAATTCCTACTTGTTCTTCTTCCTCCATCACCGCTACTCATTTTCTCCTCCATTATCCTTTTAATTGGGCCTCTAAAGGTTAGCTAACCAATTCACTTAATCTGTCAGTCTTTTTCATTACTGTTATGATTCGTTCTTTATTTAATTTTAATTGACTTTATCCCATCAATTTGAACTGCTCTTCTGTCGCTTTCATTGTACAATTTTGATAGTATATGTTTGAAGTTTGATGGTATTTTTAACATATACTTACTCCAGATTGAAATTTAAATAAATTTTAGGATTACCCAGATCGGATTTTGCTTGGTTTTGGGGTTAACTTGATTGGTTTCTGAACTGGGTTTTTGTTGGCTTGCTGATTGGAGGTTGAAATTTGAAGAAATCTGACAAGTTCAAACTTTGGTTGAATTTTGTTGGTTTGAGCTGATTTTGGGATTAATTAGTTGGTTTTGTGAACTGGGTATTTGTTGATTTGATGTTTTGAGGTTGGTTATTCTGATAATCATGTATTTTGCGAAGTTCAAGTTTGGCGTTTGGGTATTGTTTGCTATGTGTTTGATAAAATGCTCCTTAGAGTTTGACCCAGCTGATAATTATCTCATAAATTGTGGATCATCCACTGATGCTTCAGTAGGTGATCGAGTTTTCTTGGGTGATTCAAATGTGAATTCTAGTGTTGTTCTTTCAACCTCTCAAAAGATTTGGGCTAATACAAGCTCAAATTCAATCCCAACTTCAGATTCTTCAGATCTGTATAAAACTGCTCAAATTTTTACCGGAAACTCCAACTATACTTTCTCTGTTTCGAAACATGGCCGTCACTGGATTCGCCTTCATTTCTTCCCATTTGCATCGCAGAATTTTAATATGAGCCTTGCTAGATTCTCAGTTTCAGCTCAGAATTTCACCCTTTTGAGAAATTTTCAACCAGATGAGGTTACTCCTGTGGTCAAGGAGTATTCTTTGAACATAACATCAGATAAGCTTATTCTTCTTATCACCCCATCATCTGGATCCTTTGCATTCTTAAATGCCCTGGAACTAGTTTCTGTTCCTGATGAGCTTATCCCTCATAGTGTCAGAACTGTCGATTCTCCTGGCTCTAGTGAAAACCTCTTGCAGCAAGCTTTGCAGACTGTCTTTAGGGTGAATATGGGGAATACCGCAGTTAGCCCTCGAAATGATACCCTCTCCCGGCATTGGGTTCCTGATGGAACCTTCTTAAGAACCCATAATCTTGTCCAGTTCTTGTCGAAGGCACAGGCTATTAATTACACAGGAAGCGGGTCGACCCCTGAAATTGCTCCTCCTCTAGTCTATGGAACTGCCAGTAAGTTGAACTCTGAACTTGATCCTACTTTGAATTTGAATGTGACTTGGAATTTCGATGTTGATCCGGGTTTCAGTTATTTGGTTCGGTTTCATTTCTGTGATATAGTTAGCAAAACACTGGGTCAGATGATGTTTAACGTTTATATCAACTCCTGGTTTGCCGATAAACATCTTGAACTTGATAAATTGGGCTCTCCTTATTATCTAGATGTTGCTGTGCGAGATAGTCATAGTAATTCTCTCACTGTGAGTGTTGGAACTATTAGTGATGGTAGTTCTTACCCCAACGCCATGCTTAATGGGCTTGAGATCATGAAAATAAGTAACTCTAAGGGTTTTCTTGATGTTGATGCATCTTTGAAGTCGAGTGCTAAGGTCAAAACTGGTCTGATAGTGGGTTTAGCCGTTGGGGTTGTGTGTATCATTATGATTCTGGGTTTAGCTTGCTTCCTGGTCAGGAGGAGAAAAAGGACATATTCAAATGCAAACGGAAACAAAATTGAGGGAGCCTCTGAATATGGTTATCGTTTCTCTTTTGCTGCCATTAAAAAAGCCACTGACAACTTTAATGAAAGCTTGGTCATTGGAGTTGGAGGTTTTGGGAAGGTGTTCAAAGGGGTGCTAGATGATAATAGAGAGGTTGCTATAAAGAGGGGAAATCCTGATTCTCAACAGGGCATTAATGAATTTCGGACTGAAATTGAAATGCTATCGCACTTCCGTCATCGCCATTTAGTGGCTCTCATTGGGTACTGTGATGAGCAGAACGAGATGATATTGTTGTACGAGTACATGGAAAATGGGACACTTAAGAGCCACTTGTATGGCTCTGATAATCCTATCTTGAGCTGGAAACAGAGACTTGAGATATGCATTGGTTCAGCCAGAGGTCTTTATTATCTTCATACAGGTTCTGCAAAGCCCATCATCCATCGTGATGTCAAGTCAGCAAATATACTGCTAGATGAGAACCTGATGGCTAAAGTTGCAGATTTTGGTCTATCAAAAGCTGGTCCAGATCTTGATCACACGCACGTTAGTACTGCTGTGAAAGGAAGCTTTGGTTACCTAGATCCGGAGTATCTCATAAGACAACAGCTGACTGAAAAATCAGATGTTTACTCCTTTGGTGTTGTCCTGTATGAGGTTCTCTGTGGGAGGCCAGTAATTGACCCAAGCCTTCCTCGTGAGATGGTTAATTTGGTGGAATGGGCAACCAAGTCACAGAAGAAAGGGGAGTTGGAAAAAATTATTGATCCTAATCTTGCAGGTCAAATAAAACCAGAGTCTCTAAGAAAGTTCCTAGAGACAGCTGAAAAGTGTTTGGCTGAATGTGGTCTTGATCGCCCTACAATGGGAGAAGTGCTCTGGAATTTGGAAAATGCGCTGCAGCTACAGGAAGACGAAGCCTCTTCACAAGGAAGTGACGATGTCTCTTTGCAAGTTGATGATGAACAACCACTACAAAGTCTTCCTTCCACCAGACAATATAGCATGGGAAGTGCAGCAGATATTGTCGATATTTCAATGAATACAGTTTTCTCACAAATGAGAAATGGTACTATGAGGTGATAGCTATGTTAGCGCCATCTATCCACTCCGGCATACTTTGAATTTGCACAAATGAAGACGGGTTAATTTGTTGTACAGAGGATTTGTTTTGGTTTAATTCATTCTTTTATGCTCTTTTCTGTATGAGCCAAATGTTAGAGCTGTTGCAGGTAAATTCTGCACAAATCATTATTTATTTGCCATATGGAGGTTTAATCTGATTACACAGCTCCAATTAGAACTGTTCGACTTATCTTAATTATACACATTATACACTGATGACATATTCTTTCTCTAATGCTTCTTGTTCTTGCTGATGCCCATTTCTATATATACTCCGTATGTTCTTTATTTTGCGATTCCGGTGTTCTTATATCCATGAACCATGAAGTTTCTAAACATGCCTGCTCTATCTATCTATGTATCTACCGATATCCTATCTATATATTATACTAATAGAGGAATTTTAAAGGGAGGAATGTTAGGCATTTAGAAATGCATAACAAAAGGTATTCATATAATTATGCATATGTACAAACGAATAAATATTCTGATATCATTGGATGATCAAATGGTACCATTGAATATACAGTGATACTATATGTGCACATAATGGTATTATATATGCATTCAGTTGTACTAAATTTATGCGTAAATAGTACCACTTAGGATTCAATGGTACTATATAAACTTTTAGTGGAACAATCAGCATGTGGTCCCCCATCACATGATACAATCCGATCAAAAAATAGGTGTGGTCCACCTACATGCCTCTCTCTTCCTATCTCTCTCTACCATGTGTTTTTATAATATTTTAATCAATGTTATGCATTAGTAAATGCATAACTTTCCTCCATTTCTAGTTCCTCGAATATAGAGTATACTAGTTGCAAAGCTAACAAGTGTTTGCCACGTCTCATAGCTAAGCATCAACAATAGTGATAATATGAGGAAATTAAAATGGAGGAAAGTTATGCATTTACTAATGCATAACATTGATTAAAATATTATAAAAACACATGGTAGAGAGAGATAGGAAGAGAGAGGCATGTAGGAGGACCACACCTATTTTTTGGTCGGATTGTATTACGTGATGGGGGACCACATGCTGATTGTTCCACTAAAAGTTTATATAGTACCATTGAATCCTCAGTGGTACTATTTACGCATAAATTTAGTACAACCGAATGCATATATAATACCATTATGTGCACATATAGTATCACTGTACATTCAATGGTACCATTTGATCATCCAATTATATCAGAATATTTATTCGTTTGTACATATGCATAATTACATGAATACCCTTTGTTATGCATTTCTAAATGTCTAACATTCCTCCCTTTAAAATTCCTCGTGATAATATCTATCTTTTAGATTTTTAAATACATAACAACTATATATAGATAACATGTCCACTGTTCAACAAGAGATCAAATACGTCTCATAGCTAAGCATCACCAATAGTGATAACCATCTTTGCAAAATCGGAAACATGTCACATTTTACTACTTCCTCCGTTTCAGAATGTAAATTTTTACCCATCTTTTACCGCAAATATCTTTAATCTCACCCTAGCAAAAATTATAAAAGTTAGATATTAATAATCTACTTATCAAGACGAATCAAACTAGATCCTACATGACTATATTTGTTCTTATTTTAAGAGAAATTTAAAAGGTTTTTTTTTTTTTTTAAGTCAAAGATTCCAAACAGGAACATTAATATGGAATGGAGAAAGTACCAGTACCTATTAAGATAGTTGAAGAGATATTTGTTACTCATCCCTAAATCTGTCAATATTAAGCATTCTTGCACATCGAAACTAAGGACATGTTCACTTCAACTTAACTTCAGTTCACTTCAGCTCCAATCAGTTCAGTTCAGTTCAGTCTAGCTCCTAATTTCCTTCTCTCATAAAATTTTCATTTCAGCTCTATTCACTTCAGTTCAGCTCTAATCAGTTCAATCCAGTTCAATTCAATTCAACTCCAATCAATTCAGTTTAGCTCAGCTCAATTCAGTTTAGTAAATGTGAACATGCCCTAAATTTCACAACAAAACCAAACAAAACAATCTCAGTTTTATATAACCAAGATCAAAATTACAAAGATGCAACAAATAAGAGTGATTAAGGGCCAATATGGAGTACTACATTTACATGATAATAATCTCATTTTTGCTTCCTATGCATTAGATCATGGTAATAGCTAATAGTTAGAGCCGTCCCATTCAATTTAGGGCCCTGTGCTATTTTTGCCCCAGTGATTTTAAAATGTGTAATTTCATGAAATTTTGCTCTATAGTCTTAAACTCATTTCTATTAGGTTTTTTTTTTTTTTTTTTTTTTTTTTTTTTTTTTTTTTTTTTACACATAAAGCTTATGTTGTATTATTAAGTTTATGAATTTGATAACTACATTTCATTTTGATGTTTAACTAATATATTGAAAATTCTTACATTTACTACCACTAAAATGACCATGTTTGACATTTGCTACCTATTTAATTTTTTTATTTTATTTTACTATCACTCAAATTCCAAAATTCTATATATCAACTACCATTTCACAATTTCCGCCATTGTTGCTGTTAGTGGGGCTAACCATCATCCAATCACCTTTGAGCCACCCTTCCCTCCTTCCAGCCACCCTCACTGTTTATAAAATAATTTGCAACACATGTTTGTAAAAAGAAGGGGGGGGGGGCTCGAACCTTGGACCAACAAAGCAAGATAAAATGACATACGAAGTATGTTATTCGCTGCTATTAAGGCCCCATTCACTTCACTTTATTTTTGCTAACTGAAATTATATTTACTGAAACAAAATTATATTTGTTGAACTTTGTAGACACCCAAATGTGTCTCCCCAAAATCAGACCCGATGATGAATACCTTTCACGTCGAATCATAATCGGATGAGGTGAAAGTGTGGAAAGTCTAGTGTTGCGGTTAGTTTTTATTTCTCTTCTTTCTCTTTGTTTTCGAAAACCTATTTTATGAAAATAGCCAATCCAGTTTAGTTTGGTCCATAACAAGGGTCCAATAATAGTGTAGTTGGATCGGGTTCGAAAAAAGCTTTCCAACTGTAGGGAATAATTTCAAGCTTTAATCCCACTAGCTTGAACCCCACTGTGATCATACACTAAAGTACGGTGGCGTCCAAAAGGGAAGAAGATAGAGCAAAAGAGTCGCCAACAAGTTTTTAAGGAACTTGTAAACCGTTCAAGAGGTGAAGGTTACACCCCTTAACGACCTAAGAGATCGTTAACTCCATAAGGTCATGAACCAAATAAGGGTTCGGGAATAAAGGTACAAATCCAACCTAAAAGAGATTGAACCTGCCCTAATAATAGGCCTCTACTTTATTCTGATCGTATTCATGTGCGCTTTCTGACTAACATGCAATCAATAGGATTAACCCTAAACCTGTTTAATCTATATTGGTTGAATATTAATGCACAAATAAATCTATTATTGGCGATCACTTGAAATATAATCATATTAACCCTAACAAGATTATTAGTTATCTTATTAAGCGTGATTACAAGTACAAATTCCCTTTAAACAGGCAATGAAGGTGATCAAGCAATAAAGAATAAATAATGTATCAAGCAACATAATCAATAATAATCATGAATAATAATAATAATCATAATAATATCATCATAATAATAATAGTAATCATGAATAAAAATAATCATCATCAAAATAATAATAATAATATTCATAAATTATCATAAATTATAACAATTATAATCATAATCATGTTCATGTTAATATTAAAGCATAATAAACATAGCAAGATCCTAGGCATGATACTAACAAGATTAATAACAAACCCTAGCATGTCACTAAGCAATAAAAATCAAAGCTTTAACCCTAACATGATACTAACAATCATAAATATTAGGAAGAGAATAGGAAGCATCACAACAATCATATTAAATGTTAAAATTACCCTAGACATGATACTAGGAATATCATAATAACAATATAAACATGATCTCTACATCATAACTTCAATAAATCAATAAAGTACTTACTTTGATGCCTCGTACCTCTTTCTAATAACAAAATACACACGTTAGTAACTTCAAGGAAAATAATAATCAAAACAATTAAATTAAATAATTGAAATAGAGATTTGGGACCAAACCCTCAGAAATTAAACCTTTCACGCCTAGGGCGAAGGCAACTTCGAATATGGCTAGGTGTTTCTAGATCTTGTGAATGCGGAATTTTGTATGAAAGCAAAGTAAGAAGAAAGAATTGAATAAATTAAAGAATGCTAATGAAAACTTGTGAATGAGGAGAATTGGTGAATCAAAACGGAGTTTTTAATACGTTATTTATAGTGAAAATCAGCCAAAAAAGATAATTTAACAGAACAGAGTATGACGCTCAGGAAACGAGGTTGGCGCCAACCCTGGCTAGCTGGCGCCAGGCACCAATGGCTAGCGCCTGGCGCCAAGCCTGGTTCCAGGCGCCAAGGCCTGGGGTTGGACGCTAGTCTTGATTCTAACGCGTTTTCGAAAATCCGATAATTTTACCGTATTGGAGGATAAAATAATATAATTTCCTCAAAAATGCTATTTGATTTTGATTAAAACTCTAAAAAGTCAACAAAGTCAACTTATCAATGCTAATTGAATTAGGAATGAAAAGAACCTTCTAGAAAAATCTAGAAGACTAAAACCATTCCTAATTGCATTAGGAATGATAAATCATATTAGGCCCTCCCCTGGATCATTGGGCCGCACATAAAGCTCAAACTGGGCCCAGTTTGGTAAATTGGCCACAACTTCCTCAATATTCATCGGAATTGGGCTTGTAATATATCGTTGGAAAGGTCTTCGCAAGCCCATCCAACTACACTACTATTGGACCCATATCATGGACCAACCAAACTGGATTGGCTGTTTTCTTAAAATAAAGTTTTCAAAAACAGAGAGAAGAGAAAACTAATAAAAACTTTCCGCAACACTAGACCTTTCCACACTTTCGTTTCATTCGATTATGATTCGACGTGAAAGGTACTCATCACTAGGTTTGGTTTTGGGGAGACACAAATGGTGTCTACAGAAGCCCCCACTTTGACTGAGTTTGGAGAAACGCAAGTTTCGAAAACAAAAGTCAAAGTAGCGATAGGGACGGAGAATGATTCAGAACGTTCTGCGATCCTAAATCAATCTTGTAACGCCGATACCTGCAAAACTAGCATTAGTTAAACAGATAGAAGAGTTAAGAAACGCGTATCTTGCACCGTCGAGCAC